GTTAAGTTTTAGCCACATATTAAGTTTTTTGTATAAAGAAAAATTAGAGAAATCCGAGTTTAAATGTTACTCCATCTTCCTGATTGTTCGTAGATAGTTACAGTTCGAGCAGTGTATTTTCCATTAGGTAGATCATCCATGCTGAGCAATCTTATTTCGAGTTCAGAATTAATATAATTTGCAAAACTGTGTTTAAAGTGTACTAACAAACCAGTCTATTCCGATTCGATTTATTTATATTCAAAGATACATTCTTATGAATTAGTAAGCAAATTTATGTTTTTACCTGTATTGAATATTCCGGTTGAGCAAACATTTCTATCTAATTTTAATGAGAAAATATTTAAAACTTTCGGTGACATTAATGGAAGAGAATCAAGATAATATTGATACAGTATGAGATAAATATCAATGTCAGATGCATAAATTTAGTTATAAGTATATAGGAAATTTTAAATATTTCTTGAAAAGCCATCTATATGCTCTACAGAAATTTATACAGGGATAGTCTGTACTAAAAACTGAGATTCTTCAACAAGTTCTCTGAAGAAGAGAGAGATTTTCTATAAAGCGGAAATTTTAATTCAATCAGATTGAAGCAGTCTATCCGCATATATATATTGATTCAACTATAACTTTAATAAGTATAAACTCCAAGTTTAGTTATCAACGACACAGTTTTGTAAGATAAGCGAACAAATGTGCGAACCAGATAACGTAATTATTCCCCTTTGGATATGCATTCGTTTGATGTGCAAATTCTCACAGAGCACAGTTACGATTTTAGATTAAATTTGATATTCGAATGCTCAGAGTTTTCTTAAAATATGCAAATAGTTATGCAAATGATTGTAAGAGCAAAATCCCAAGAAAACTTTAAGATTATTACAAGTATTAAATGTATTATTTAAAAGTTCTAATAAACCTATCACCAAAATTCATATTTTTAGACTTTAAGGAGTTTTCCTACGCAGTATTTAAATTAATCGGTTATAAATTAAGAATATATGTTATGTTAGTTAAACAAATGAGCCAATTAGCTTTTTAAAGGTCGAGCAGCTAATGCAAGAATGGCAACTCCTTATTGTCGATAAAGTCGTTAGTGAAGCAGGCTTTGCTACATCATCAAAAAAATAATATAATCTACGAGTGAGACCTAGATAAACGAGAAATGATTTAGCAAGTAGGATGGGTATTGATCGTCTACCAGTTCTACAATAACTTCTTTACCTTGCATTAATCGCCAATCCGAACAATAGCGATTAAAGCAGCCATAAATCTCTCTTATTTTTCTTACTTCTTTCTTCCGAGATGATTAAACAACTGCATTCGCTACTATTGCCTTCAAAATCAAATACATACATATATATATATAAACCAATTAATATAAGAAAAACTAAATTTATATTTAGTTTAAATGAATATCATACTATTTAAAATGCAAATATTCTTAGTGCGTTACTAATAGTATGAATACTAATTCGTGTACAATTTTAAATAATTTAACATAACTTTCTTCGTTAGAAAAACGTGTAATTATATATAATTTATCATCTGTAAATTGATTTTAAGTAACTTTTATAATGAAGTTAAACATCCTTCGACTGTGCTATAAAATGCTTTGATCTTTAAGATTGCATTAAATAGAATTAACGTAAAATCTCTTTCAGTAACTAAGGCTTTGCAATTAGTTATTGCCATTAAGAATATTCGCTGCTACAGTAATAGTTGAAAGTTTAACTTTGATATTATATTTAAGCACTTCATTTAGAATTCATAATTCAAAAAATAATTAGTTACACGGGGGAAATATATAATTACCGTAAACAGAAAAGAGTTTTAGAGTACGGATTTTCGATGTAGTGCATTTCTAAAAATAATTTGCTAGCGATATCTTTAAAGAAGCAGAGACAATAATTCAAGTCAATTTGAAAACTTTGAAACTCGGCACTTAAGTCATCCTGAGAACGATTTCAAAGTAAAGAATTATAACGATCAATTGCGTGGCGACTTTATAAGCACGCAAATCCAAGATTCACACGATGCCAGTTCCACCCACAAGCACGATCAGCATCACAAGAGGTGATTAAAGGAACCAAATTCCAACAGAAAAGAGACGTTTAATTGATAATCGGTCTGGACCACGTAATAAACGAAAAAAGGGATGTTATCCATCCAGCTAACAGTCACGATATTCTCCAGCAGTCACGCAATTGAAGTCACTTTTCTTCTTATCGGAAAATCTTGTCTTTACAATGGGTCCTTCTTTATTTAAAGATACTAGTTTTTCTCGTCTATACTTTCCATATTACTTTCTTCCGAACCGGAAACATCCGGATATTTCCTGTTCTAGTAGCGGAAATGCAACTGGAAATGATTCTCTTATTGCAAACATGAAGTTGGTGCAATGACGCTGAACAGAAGTGGATAGTTATCAAGACCGAACCAAGAGTGTTAGTAGTGGAGTGGAGAACGATATTTTCGAGTGTTATGAACTAACTTGACGAAGAAGATCGTAATGATGCGGAGCGAACAACGAAATTAAACAGTACAATGGATACTTAGATTCGTAACGGTCAATTGTCTGTTCTTTTAAGAAAAATCGATGTCATTCTAATTTTCATTCGGTCTCTTTTATGCACTATTACCTTGAATATATTGCTAAAAGCAAATCTCTTCTTGCTTTTTCCAACTTGATTTCTATAAGCTTCAGATTTTTTGCACGTCTCATTATTATTAACCACAAACTACTGAATAATTTTTTTTCTATATATCATCTTTGAAATTCTGATATAGAAGTTTACCGCATGGAAAAACTCTATTTGTTTTTAACAATATAGAGTATTGAATATTTTTATTTTAAAAAATAAAATAAATTCTTAAAAATTTTCTACTTTTCAGCGCAAAAAATAGCAAAAAAAAAACCGTCTGAAAATTGCAGTTATTAAGTAAACATATTAATAAAATATTAAAATTTTATTCCTAATTTTAATGTTTTATTTTATCTATTTATATCTGAAAAATTAATAAAATTATATTTAAAATTATTGAACCATAAAACCTTAATCCTAGTTCTACATGTCTTAAATATATCTTTACAAAATCCATTAAGTATTTATAAATTATAATTATTGATAAGTGAAAATGCATTATACTAAGTATTAGTTTAAACAATTAGTTATAATCAACTGATTATAAGCATTTTAATACTTACCAAGTGTTAGTTTATTAGTTGGATTTCCGAAATAATCAACAGCCATTAAAGAGATGTTTCCTGATGATTCTAACTTCAGAGGATGATTCTAAACGTGGAATAAACTGGTTTATAGATTATAAATCTAAACGATGTTATTAATATACAACATTAAATTCCAAATAATGATATTACGTTAAGCGATTGAATGTTAGCTGCCTGTAAAGAGTTTAGAAATTCTGTTTCTCCTTGAATTTGTGCGCCATATTTTGTAAATGTTAAACTTCCCATACCGGCCTTAAAAAATTAATCAACATATTTATTAATGAATAAATTACATGTTTTTATCTAAAATTTAAGTTATATATTTAATAATTAATAATTGTATAATCATTGGAATGTTTTTTATCGTAGAAATCCTTTACCGTTGTCAGATCCAGTACTTTGATGATCCATACTGTCAAAGCCATGTTAATAACAACAACAATTAACAGCATAATGACTAAAAGATATAGACATCGCTTTCTCCAGCCATAAATTCCTCCAGCGTAATAATTTGGTGTTAGTTTAAGGGCATCGCTTCCAATCATAGACACTTCCAGTTGTGTAGGAACTCCTAAAGATTGACCTACTGCACCATTGCATGTTTGTGGAAGAGTGCTGGCTGCTGAACTTGGAGTTTCTGTTACCATAGCTATTTATCATGTATCTAAAATATAATAGTCATATTCAGAATATTTTAAATACGATCTCACTTATGAATAATGGATTTAAAAATTCAAATGAAAAGAAAATGAAACACTTTAAACTTAAGAAAATATAAAAGAAATTCTGATTGAAAAAGAGAAAAATCAATAAGATTTAGTTTCCATAAAAAGGTTTTAATAACCTTTAAAGTAATATAAAAAGCTAATGATATTTTAGGAAATTTATTAAATCATTTTTCTGTATTAAAAAAAAATCTTCACCTTAAGAAATGTTAACATTCTTTTTATTTCTGTTTAAAAATGCAGAAAATTGTTATAAATCGATTCTGATCAAATTTTATTTTCAGTAGTGTCTCTTGACGATTTTTAAAATTTTATAGGAAAATTTAGTTTTGAAAGAAATATAATAAAAGTTGAATACAATAAAAATTTAAATCATTTTTGAGGTGGATTATTTTTGAAATTTATGACGCGATCACTCTATCAAAATTTATGCGTGTATATTAATTTTGATATATTGTAAATTATGCAATATACCTTCTCGGTTATTCCTACAAAACAAACATCTTTTGCAAGGAAATTAACAAGATATATCAAAAATTAATTGAAAATAAACCGATTTAAGTATGATTTCGTTAATTTATCACATTAAATTGTGCTTTGCATCTTTAGGTAATCCTACAATTATTCTAAGATTACGTTCAATGCTTATCCGATTTATTATAATTTAAATTGTTAATATTTATATATCATTAAATATAGAATTTACAAAATAAAACACGCAAGTTTATATTAATATATTTAATATATAAATTAAATAGCTCATATATTAAAAAAAATTCTATAGCTAATAACTAAATGATATTTACCTT